TATTGAAAGAAAAGAAATATTTACTTGAATTTACTATCCCTTAATGGCGATTAATTATATAAGAAATAAAAAAGAATAATTTATTAAATATTATTGGACCATCACACGACACTAACACACGAACTTGTCTACTCACCGTTTCTTTAGCCTGTCAGCCGAAGGAGTCCTTGACCAGAACGTAATACAGTTATTCCTGTGAACTTACCAACTCACCGTTTCTTTGGTCTGTCAGCTGTAGGAGTTCTTACTAAAATCAATAGCACGATTATTTCTGTGAACTTATCAACTCACCGTTTCTTTGGTCTGTCAGCTGTAGGAGTTCTTACTAAAATCATAGTATGTTGTTTCTGTGAACTTATCAACTCACCAGTTTCTTTGGCCTGCCAGCTGAAGAAGTCCTTACTAAAAACAATAGCACGATTATTTCTGTGAACTTATCAACTCACCGTTTCTTTGGCCTGCCAGCTGAAGGAGTCTCTACTCAAAACACAGTAGTATTGTTTTTGTATCTTCCGCATACCTGTTCTTATTAACATTTCCAAAACTCCTGCTTTGTACATGTAGCCTGACTAAAAGTAGAGGAAGAACAAACGTTAGACTCGTCATTATTACTCATAATACAATGTTTCTGATACCTGCAACATAGAAAAAGTTGTGACACGTAAGCTTAGCGCTTTATGCATAGGGCTCTTAAACCGTAGTAAACCAGTGATATAAAAATATCAGTATCTAATACAACAGACCACCCATAACCTGCTAAATAAGCAAATTAATGATAGGAAAACCTGCCATATGATACACCAAGACACTTATATCTTAGTAAATAGTAAAATCATGAATTAATAATTCTGGTGTCCGATACATAATTTACTTACACCTTAATAGCTGTAGCATTTCATGATACACAAACCTGGTATATGTTACACATTTATCCCCTGGTAATTTTACACTCTTAGTAGAAAACGATAATAACAGGCCCAGATACACAGAACACGTTTCCCTTGGTAAATAGAGCATTAATGGCATAAAAAACTGGTGCCTATCAAATAGGCTTAAATTCTAATAACATTTACACTAAGAATATAAAAAAAATTCCAGTTATTCGATATCCCTTACAATTTTTCCTTGGTAAGTAACATATTCATAATGCAAAAAACTGGTAACTTTAATAAAAAATACTGGTTTCTAATACACAGGACGTTTACATCTTGGTAACTGGCACATTTGATGTAGCAGGAAAGCTACACCTTGATAAAAGGTACAAACATTAGTTAAAAAAACTGATTCCTAATAAACAGGGTACTTATGTCCTGGTAACTAAAACATTCATGACATACAAAAAATGGAGCTTGATACACATGACACTTATATCTTACTAATTTAAACACTAATAATATAAAAACATTCTGATACTTGATACACAAAACATTTATATCCTGGTTATTGGTACATGATATGCAAAAAACTCGTTCCTGATACAAACATACATAAGATAAAAAAGTGCTACACGTATTGTAACCGAGCAAACTTTTCAGCTTATTGTTTGGAAACGAAGCGTTTTATGTGAATTCTAATCTTCATCTAACTAATGATTTATTCTATATAAAATCGTATGAAACATTAGACTATTCAATGAATAAGACATGTGTGGTCTATACATTTATTTGTAATCAAGTTTTTTTTCCTATTTCTGTGAATAATGGCGTGTTTCATTACAATTTACTCGTTTTCAATTACTTTCGAAGACGTCTAAATGTCACTAAGGTATGATAATACAAAATAACACATAAAACATTCATAATCTATCAAAATACTAGTAATTAACTTATAATATCATATTCTACTTTTCTTCGTAAACAGAAAGGAAAAGCACCAGCAATAAGAAATGAAAAACAGTAAGAATATAATTATTATCTTTTTCGAAAAAATTAGTGGATAGGCGCTAGCAGAAGTTCATAGAAAAATCCATTTGTTTACATCAAGAGATGCTAGTCTCGCAAAGAATTCATTCACTTTCACACGGACAAAAAATTTAACCTTGATTTGACTTGTATCGATGATTATCTTACAGACATTTATTTCATGTTTCTGGCACAAAAATGTTTGATCAGAAATCGATGAAAAACAAAATCTTCCAATGAAAAGTTTCAGGTGTTAAATGGTTAATTCCATTCAGGTGTTAAATGGTTAATTCCATAAGAAAAAATATCAGTGTTTTTCAATTTTTTTATAAATTATTGCGGTATCACCCTAATTGACAAAGAAGAACGATCAGTATCACAACAAAAATGTTTTTTTTTGTGGTCCGAGCTTTTTGAGAATTTCGCGCGAAGCCATACACATAGGTGCGATATAACTGTGATGGGAGAATTCCTATATTTGATTGGATAAGACAGTCTTAGACCTGGCGGTCCTTGCTGTTGAGTAGCAACTGCCTTCCCTCTAGTCTATCATTTCAAAATTAAAGACAGCTATGAGCAAATAGCTTTTTGTACGAAAATACTGAGCAAATAAACTTTTATCCTGGAGATCAAATTTTAGAAAATGTTAGAAATTTTAGTTCCTCAAAAAACAACAACAACGACAACAGAATATTGAAACCAAATGAATGTTTTTGTTTTTGCTTGAGGTACTTACCAAATGCTGTTTATGTGCTCTTCTTCTGATAACAACTTCGTCTTCCACGTTCTGTTCACTTTCAGTACTTTTCTTTATTGGCTTCGACCGAGTTCTACATATATATCAATTATAAGTAGTCTATAGGCTGGTGTTTTGTGAAGGCATTAGGAATTGATAAGAAACTTTCACATAATAAAATAAAGAAATGGGGCCTCATTAACACACAAAGCCAGGACCAGCGACTTTTGTTATTTCAAATTCTATACAAAAGCACTTTATGATATTTAGGGGTTTTTGAGTCTTTTTTAATTCATAATATAATAACCTAAGTTAGTTCATGTTACTGTATAGTGTATTAGAAAGGTTTCACCACCACCCCTAAATCGTATATACGCATCACCATTATAAGAGTCCTAACTGCATGTGTTTGGTTTGCTGCACCAAGCTGTACTGATGAGCCTTGGATAAACGAAACTGGAGTCTACAGCAGAGGGTACGGTCAATCACTGAATGCATGAGGCCTCTACGTCACATATAATGTTTTACCTTTGGTGAAAAAATAAAGAAATCTGTGACATAAGTATAGTGTTTTATTGCATTTAAATCATTTAAAAATAACACATGAGTCATAAAAACTAATTTCTACTGCACGTCTGTAAAATCCTTATTAATGAAAGTCCACAAGGTGAAATAAATATTACTAATATAACTTCACTTTACTATTGATCAAATTTAGAATAAATTTAAAAAGAAAATATCATTCTATACGTGATCATAAACCCAATCAGCAACATTTGAAACAATTTTATATATAGCTTTGGAAATAGCAACTTAAATGGCTATAAATTGTAAATATTACGGGATTGCTCTCCTTCTACTGTATGCAAATTAACTGCACAAGAGTATAGTAACTATTGATAATTCAAACTGTGATTGACCTGTCATCCATGTAATTTGTAAATGCGACAGCAACATAACGTCTATAAACATATAGGAAGTCACACATACTATTCCTAGCAGTAGTGTAGCGAATACACTCGTAGCTCCCAGTAGATATTCCTCATGACAAACGTGTAAACACCAAACTTTTGGCTGGTGAAACTTTCCAAGTGATAGACGGAAGCGAAATGTCTGAAGAGGGTACACGAAGATTGTATTATTGTTATGTAAGTGATCGAGATAGAAAAGACCAAATTCCTGGAAAGCGATATCACGTAAACTTAGGGTATGTCCTTTAGGTTATGTACAACAATTTAGTAGAGATCTTGCCAATAACCTAGCTGAAAGTACACGTGTTTATGTTACCTCAAAAACTGTACGATACACATTAGATTATTAGAATGAAGTAGCCTCACTTACAGATGTGTAAGCCGCTCAACAACCACAGATTATAAGAGAACCAGACTCAAAACAATGGGGGTGCAAAAGCTCGAGGACGATATTCTTTAGAGAATAATTCAAATTCAAATTGTTTGGATAGCCTATTCAGTCAGGCAGAGATCCCAAACATCCAGCAATTGTTGTGAACCATACTTGGTAAAAAAGAAAAAGATGCTGATAAAATACTCACAACCATGGCTTGGCCGTCAAAGTCCAGAAATTAATACTATTAAGGCTTTATTGGTTTATGCGGATACTGAGAAGGTTAAAAGGAACCAAATAACATGTTGTATTGTAGAGAGTAATGAAGAGTATTGATAAAAAAATACTTCACAATCACTCTTTGATAAACTTATGGTAGCATAAAAACAAAGTGTACTACTCTGTTTGAAACAAATACAAAACACTATTTCATTGTACATTTTCTTCACTTTTTCGCATTTTCTATAATAACATATTACACTAATGATAAATTGATAGTTTATTTGTAATTACTCACTTTTTGTGACTCCTGTATGATAATCACCTGTGCAAATCTATAATTATTTCCAATTATTTCGCCCGTTTAAAACCACCTTTAAAATGTCTAAATATTTACAATGACTATTTCTCAGTATTGGTTAAGCAAAACTAAAGCTTATTGTATTTATAAAGCCGCTTAAATCGCTATATATTTATTTATGGAATGAATGAACATTTCTCTATTTCAAATAATTTTCATCTAAGTAAGTAAATGATGTTTGCAGACAAGTGTACAGAAATAACGACGAGCCTTATCGCTCTAATTTTTTCACAGAATTCTTGCGTCTGGGGTCCCAGTGATTCATTTCTTGTATCGAAAAGGATAATAGTATATATTTATATAAAACGGACTATGCGCTACTTTGGGCATACAATTAGATGTGAGGATAGATTGGTAGATCCTGATGAGCAATAAAATCTAATGAGGTATATGCGAGCCCCATGCTTATTATTTCTGGAGCACAAAAATATAGCTAATCAAAAGGAAAAAAACAAGAATAATGTTACGACAGCGAAAGTCACGTGACCCTGGTAACACGTGACGAGTTTCTAGAAGATTCACAAAGAAACGAGATGTATCCTTTTTGTATATATATATAAGACCGGTAAGAAGTGACGGCAACAATCGGAATTGAATTACAGAGACGCAGAGATAAAGATGGACAATTGAGTCAAGCGCGGTAGTGACCGTAAGAAAGTGCGTGAATCATTGTGAATTATAGCGTGTGTTTAAATGACTGTGGAAATTAAGTGTATTACAAAGTCGATTTGAGAAAGAATAAACTAGTTTTATTTAAGAAAGGACTTGTATCGCTAAAGTTTCATCCGAAATAAATTATACTGGAAATTAAAAAACGACCAGAGACGTAACAATAATAACAAAAATTAAATTTTATAAAGACAATTAGGAATCGATATATACGTAACATAGATGGCTATAGTATTATTGAAAGTTTTAATGTTACGAAATGTATTAAAACAAGAAAGTCAAAACTAAAAAAAATTAGTTACTCAAAATAAAATAAAAAATCCCTACTATGGCTCAGACTAACATAATTGCAATGATTGCCCAAAGTAGAGATAAAAAAATGAAAATGTTAAGGAACTCAGTTTTTGTAGTTTTTGACTTTCTTGTTTTAATACTTTTTGTAGCATTAAAACTTTCTAAATACATCATTTATTTGACAAATAATTACTTTAGAATGCATGAATTCTTCATGAAGCTCACAAAATCGAAAGTTCGTATACATTTTCGTTTTTGTTGAAAATCGCCCTTGACCAGTAGTTTTGCTCACATTATCAAATAAAGCACATTTATAACCAAATTCTAAATTATATTGTGCCAAATATTAATAAATTGAACGTTTGGATCAGCTGAACAGATAAACAAACTTTCAGCGCCCTCCAGTAGTTTATCGGTAAGTTTGTAAGCTCATATATCACCTAAAACTGTTTCGATATCCATGACTGGCACAGCACAGATAACCCATTGTGTAGGTTTGTGCTTAACATTAAAAAAAGAAAAACAAAGGAACTTTTATGCATATCCTTTCAATACAAATATGTTAGAATTTTGTATTTCACTAAACATTACATTAGACAGACCAGCTGAAACTATAATACCAGAATCCATATGGTATTATTTAAGCTGTATTATTAGTTTAAACAATTACCTTCAGTTCATTATAATATTATTACGATTGCAGGTTATGAAAGTTTCTAAGAGAAAGTGAGTGGATAAACTAGAAATTTGAACAGACTGAAACAAAATAAAATGGTTAGACGTAGGTATAAAGTATAGTTAACACTGAAATAACATAAAACAGAGAATTGTGTTTATTTATTTATGTTCACATTCATTCCATGCACCAGAGGGACGTTTTGTATTGATACAATTTTTCTTGAAGTCGTTTTTTTCGTGTAAAGCTTCTCAATGAGTTACCTGCACTCTGTTCACCACAGAGACTCGAGCCCCGGATTTTAACCTTGTTAGTGCGTAAACTTACCTCTGTCCTACCGGAGAGATACAACTTTTCTCTTTGGACTGCATATTTGAGAAGTTTAAAAAAAACGATTGAATGAGGTAATGCATTTTTACAAAGTTTATTTTGTAAAATCGGGTTTTTTAAAAATTACACTAATATAATTTAGTACTATTCTTTATCTTTAACGGAAACTTACCCGTTTCTATTAAAATCTGGATGCCTCACGTTAAAAAATGACATTTCTGCATCAATGTGACTTTCCAACCTTTCCTGTAGAATAAACCATAAAGTAAGATACACTGGCAAACTGTTACTATCACAAAGTTTCCAAAGAATTGTATGATTAAACCATCGTTGAAAGAATTATACGAATCACCAAATTTACTTCATACAAGACGTTTGGTCTTAAAAATGCCTGTTTTAAACTTTTATTACAACATTAAAAGGTGGAACTTAACTAAACTATTTTTTCTATAAAGTAGTTTAGTGTTTGAAATATATTAGAAAGTGAAGTCATTGAAGTATACACTTATACCAGCTATTTGTTAATAAGAGTACCTGAATGAAGCTCTTTCAGCTTAAGTGTCTATATAATCGTAATTATAAACATCTAGTTATGTTCAATTTGTTTGATAAATTTACTTATGCGTGACTTAGTCATTTCGCAAGGCTGCTTTATTTAACTTACTTCAAAACAACAGTTGTACACTATATATATATAAAACTCAAAAACCCCATAAAGCTGTACCTTTTATTGAATTAAACAAAGCGTATCATCGAAAAGGTCAAAGAGGGTTAACACTTTAAATGGTGGATTTATGTATATGTATACATGTAAGTTTTAATACCTTTTATTTATTTTGTAATAATATATACACGTGTTTTAACTACATTTACTGTTTACATGCGCATATTTATTAGGCTTCAATGTTCAGATGAGTTATCTTTTGTTTTCGATATAAAATGAATATTTTCTTCACCATTATTATATTCTTGTCATAAGTTTCTTACCGTTATTTTTTCATTGTTGATAACGTGATTGGATGTTAGACGATACGTAAGAATGCTTTGTTATTTTAAATGAGATCAGCTGTTTTGTTCTGTAAAGACTGGGCTTGTGTCTACCCCAGAAACGTTGAGAAATTATAGCATTTTTTACTGAATACTGGCTGTTTCTCTTAAATTCCAAAGCTTATGAAGCCAGATACGTGAATCTGTGGTTAATATCTATCATATAACTACCTTGGTCACCTCTTGCTGTTTTTGAAGACGAATTCTCACTCGGAAAATCACTTCATCACGAAGTCTTGGATAACGTTTGAGCTGAGATGGATCATGAAAATATGACACAAGTTAAACATACAAAACACAAACATGTCGAACATTATTAAAACTATATAATTTATCTCAAATTCAAAATAAGTTGAACAGTTTTCATGTTATTTTATATTAAAAATGTATTTGGTGTACAAAAACCAATGTTATCATAATTGGTAATAATGTCAGTAGTCCTCACAAAACAAATATTTCAGTATGGCAGAAATTCCAGCAATTTCAAAGTAAGTCGCCTCTTGAGCACAATTATCATAGTTTTTATAATGTTGGTAATAATAATCCAATAGCTGCCACAATAAAAAATAATATAACAGAAATTCTGACAATATTAAGGTATATTACTTCTTGTCCACAATTATTTAAATTTTCATATTATTGTAATAATGACAAAAACTTTCACAAAGGATAGCTCAATATATTACGAATTTAAACAGTGGCAAAATAAATTACCTCTTGAGCACAGTTATCAATCAGATTTGCCATAATGTTAGTAATAATATCAACAGCTATCACAATAGGGACTTTGTACTTCTCAATCAATCTTGTAGTAACAGCATCAAACGCTAGTCCTGGAGTGAACAATGGTGTCCTATGCAAAAATGGAAATAGGTATGTATTTATATATATATATATAGGAAATAGGTATAGTTTATATAGTTATATAGTTGTTTTTTTTGCCATGGCATTAGAACAAGAGGATATAAAATATTAACGCCATCTGCTTATTGTCCAAAGTGCCATTATAAATCAGGCCTAACAAAGACAATTTCCTTGTAGAACTAACTGTTTTTCGTGAGAAGATGGGAAATACTTGAGCTTACAAATATATTTCACAGACGAAAGACAGAAATTCTTGGAATTGTAAATGTTAACGATACTACATCAATCTGAAACCTTAAAGGTCATGTTAAATAAAGATTATAAATAGTATCTTTGACTAAATGATCCAACCTCTAGAATGTAAGACATCTTATCTCTAGGTAGTTTTAACAGGATAACTGAATATTTTAGTGATATTCTTAAAATGATTCAAAAATTAATCATTTTCAACGTTTCGTAAAAGTTATCAAAGAACAAGATTTCGTTAAGAATCAAAAGATTCACACGTTTTTACACATATCCCAGTGTTAACCATAATCGTGAAATACAAGATATAAAGCATATTTTTGAAAAAACAAAACGATAATTATTTGTTTGGGATATTTCCATAACATAGATATTATTGTGAAGTTAATTAAAGATGCTAGCCCTGATATCTAGTTTTCCAGTATAAGGTATGTTACAGAAGCTACTTAAAGATGCTAGCCCTGATATCTAGTTTTCCAGTATAAGGTATGTTATAGAAGCTACTTAAAGATGCTAGCCCTGATATCTAGTTTACCAGTATAAGGTATGTTACAAAAGCTACTTAAAGATGCTAGCCCTGATATCTAGTTTTCCAGTATAAGGTATGTTACAGAAGCTACTTAAAGATGCTAGTCCTGATATCTAGAACATACCTTATACTGGAAAAAGATATCAGGGCTAGCATCTTTAACTAGCTTCTGTAGTTTTCCAGTATAAGGTATGTTACACTACTTTCGTTTTTTTGGATGTTTTTGTTATGCTGTTCGAAGTTAATCATTCAACTATAAGTGTTTGTTTATAAAAATCTTAATTCTAATTCTCACAATAACAATTCTACAGATAATAAGTTAAATATTACACATGATTTATCTGAAAGTTTTTTGTTTTTTTTTGCTTTGACCACTAACTCGGTTCTGAGAGAAGGAATATTAAAAAATTCAGAAACTACTTTAAAAGTTATCGTTACTCTTAACAAATAACTACTAGTGATTGTAATATTGTGAAGGAAGGCTCAAGAAGAGATAGCATATTAACCCATTAATTAGATTATATTCAACAATGCTCAAGTACATTATACACATAATTTCAATAAAACAAAATTTTTACTAAATGAAACTTGTTTTTTTCTTATAGATAATCTAAAATTCATATAGACTACAAACTGAGAAATACATTGTTAAAATACATAAGTAAATATATTTATGACTTGTGTCTGTAGGCGATTGTTTTAGAGAGAAGGTATAAAGGGCTATCTGTGCTGTGTCAGGCACAAGGATCTAATCACACATTTTAGCTCTATAAACTATTATTCTACTAGCTGAGCCAGAAGAGGACAACTTATGTGAAATGGTTATATTAAAGGAGGGAAGATCATTCAGAATCTACTGATGAAGAAATTCTTATACGAATGTTAAATACAACTGTAATTCAAAAACTTGTGATTGTACTTTAAAATTCACATTGATGTAAGATATATGTTGTGAAACTGAAATTTTAATGATAAACGAGGATTCAATTTCATTTTGTACATGCCATCCTATAACTGGTTTTCTTCATGCAAGTAAACATTTTCATAAATGGATTTCAAATTTTTTGGCAAATAGTTTCAACATTTTCCACTTTACAACTATAAGAATGGAGAAAAACGATTTATTTCATTCAGAGTTTTAAAATTTCCCTGAATAATAACTTATAAGCCTATAGAGGGCATTGATCGTAAAACTCCTCTTAAAATATTCATTTGAATGAGAGCTATAGTAAAATTAAAGAACGGATCCACTAATGTAGTTCTTATGAGTTTATTATTTGATGTCGGTATTCCTACTTTTTTTATAACCATAATCTTTACCTATAGTTAATGTTTCTCTGTTTCAACGTTTTAAATAGGAATTAAAACATATTAATTCCCGAATACTGTTGAAAACTTTATATTCATACACAGATACACATATATATATTTGTAATGTGAATAAATTTTCATGAGTAGGCTTTTTTACAATGAAAATTTGGATTCTACTCGAGTTGTTTTTAAGGTTTTTATATCTTTTATTTTAATAAATTATAAAAAAGGGCAAAAACTTATTCGAAGACATAAGTTTGTGTATGTAAGAGAGAAATAGAAAAGAAGGGGATATGTACATATATTTGTGTATGTAAGAGAGAAATAGCGAAGATGGGGGATATGTACATATATTTGTGTATGTAAAAGGGAGATGGAGAAGGAGATATGTACATATATTTGTGTATGTAAGAGAGAGATAGAGAAGGAGATATGTACATATATTTGTGTATATAAAAGGGAGATAGAGAAGGAGATAAGTACATATATTTGTGTATGTAAAAGGGAGATAGAGAAGAAGGGGATGTGTACATATATTGGGTATGTAAGAGATAGAGAAGAAGGAGATATGTACATATATTTGTGTATGTAAAAGGGAGATAGAGAAGGAGATATGTACATATATTTGTGTATATAAAAGGGAGATAGAGAAGAAGGGGATGTGTACAAATATTTGTGTATGTAAGAGATAGAGAAGGAGATATGTACAAATATTTGTGTGTGTAAGAAAGAGATAGAGAAGAAGGGGATGTGTACATATATTTGTGTGTGTAAGAAAGAGATAGAGAAGAAGGGGATGTGTACATATATTTTTGTATGTAAGAGAGAGATAGAGAAGGAGGAGTTCTTTTTTTTTCAACGTTTAAACGTTCTGGTCTGTTGTAAGCGAATAATTTTATCTCGATCTTGCCAGTTTTATTTTCATACATGGAAAACCTAACACTTAGGAGCTTTACCACTACAGGATCTATTTACATTTTACATTCTAATTAACCTTACACAGACCACACCTATTCTTTTTTCTTACCTATAGCCGTGAATATTCTTAATAACAACAGCCAATTCTTCATCGTTTGGCATCAACTCCTATAAAGATAATTCCAGAGGCGGTTCTTAAAATGTTACAATCAGATCAGTTTCCTATATCACTGACAACGCCTTTGTTCTTATGTAAACAACAATAGCTATTTTCAAAATCAATGCACAACAATAATTATAAAAACTATCTTGATTACATTTAATATAAAAATTGATAATAATGGTACGCTCCTAAATACAAGTGTTTGGATTTTTTACTAAGAAAACTTGACAGGAAAGTGTAACAACTGATAAACGACGATCGTTACGACTAAGTACCATTTAGTTTACGCTGACATGTTATTTCCGAATGCATAAGAATGTGTATTTTCTCTTTGAAATATAACACATGTGATTTACCTATATCATGAAACAAAAAAAATATTTTTCTGTCAATAAACATTTAGCTAGAAAATAACTAAATTAAATTCTGCGGAATGATTGAGACGAAGTGCTAGAATTATTAATGGTATAATTATTCGGACTATTATTTTCGAAAATAATAGCCGAATAATTATACTATTAGTAAATTAAATTTATTAAAGTGCCAGATATTAACAAACAGCATAAATAAAGTTAATACAGATATATTCTATAATGTTTTCGCAGTTTCAAAACAATTTGTAGATGTCAAAAACCCCAAATAAACAGAATAAATTATCTATAAAAACGAACAATTACATACCACACAACCAAACAGCTGATAAACTAAAAACACCACAAAGTCAGAAAGCGAACAATAATTTGTCAAAAATGATTCAGGCTAGTTGAACAATCTTAGATGTTTTGACAATATTCTCTCTGGCTATCATGGACTGTAGAATTGTCCAATGAGCCTGGTGTCGTTTTTGACAGTAAAAAAGAACAAAAAATTACTCGCACAAACAGTGGCGAAATCCAACGACAAGCTCATATGTCAACGGAAACAACAACAAACAGATTAACCACAAAACACCAACTAACCATATTCCATTAACTGTCCCCAGAGTTATAATCGAAGGAATTCTAACACATTTAGAGCGCCAGACTTAATATATGTAATCAGAAAACATAAACACCAAGCAAACATCAAAGAAATCAAAGGGAGTGTAATTGTTAAGCTCGTCAATCCTAAAAACTAGATTATTAATGGAAAAGTGGCCAAACATAGCCTTCAATGGCACAGTGATAACAACTCACATTTCGGTTATGACTAACAACCCACACTACATAGTCATCAGAAACATTACATTTAATATCACACACCAGGAAATGAAAGAAGGAATTAACTTTCAGGATATGAATACCACACACTGCACAAGAATCATAATATATAAAACTGGCACAACAACATCATTAATCAAAGAAGGAGTAGATTTACAAAAAAAGAGCAAACCAATTAATCGCTAGGTATTCGTTTTTGGTTCAAAAACTAAAAAGTAGAATAATATAGAATGACCAACAATTCAATAAGACAATGCTATCATTTTCAAAGCTTCAACCAATATGCAGCGTGTTGCCATGCGCAAACACGCTATCTCCATTGTAGCGATAATCATACACTCAAAGACTGCAAAGGACAAAGAAAATGCGTTAAATGTGGAGGCAATCATATAGCTTCCTTCACAGGTTACCTTAAATTCATTAACATTGAAGAGCTTGTACGAAATAAAACTCACAAACTCCAAATAAAATATAAAAAAACTTTAAGATTACACAAACTAACTTCCTAAGTTTATCAAAGAGCAATCCAGCAAAAACAGAAATAACGCAATATACACTTACAGAAACAACATCCCCACTTACACCCAGGCTATCAAATGAACCACAAATAATTTTAACAACGCACAAATAGAAAAAAAAAAGTCTTGAACTTGATATAATTTTCGTGCTTAGGAAATGCACTAACAAACTAAACCAATTTAAAAGTAACAACAATAACATATTCGTTGCAATTGACATAAGTACAAATAACAAAACGAAAATCACAATATTAGCATTAGATTGCAGTTCTACACACACGACAGTTAACAACTTAGTAATAGATCATCTAAATTATAATCATAAATTAATAATAAAGAGATTTAAACTCAAAACATCAAACATTTGGTTGCAGATACAATAATGTAAACAGTAAAAAAAATATATATATCACAATTAATAACAAATAACAACCTCATCTTTTTGAACATTAATACTTCAATCCAGCTCCATAAACCTACAGGTACAACTGACATTCTATATTTAGCTATAACTACATCACAGCTAATTTCACAATTCTCAGATGTTGATGTAGGCCAGGAGCTGGGAAGCGACCACTTACACATTCAGGTCACTTTTCACTCTCTATTCATAGGTCAAACGACTATAACAACAAACAAATCAGATATAACTACATGACTCTAAATGTGGAGGAAGTCAACAAATATGTTGACTCAAACTTACTCGATACACCAATTAAAATAGCAATAAAATCAAAAGTCATAGATCAGTATGAAAAAAACAATAACAGCAGCCATTGAAAGTGCAATAGGAAAAATGATACCATTAACTAAGCCACGCTTAAAAACGCACGGAAACATCAACACTGAAATAATGAACAAAATGTAAGAACGCAGAAAACTAAAACGTGAATGCATTCAAACCAGGACAACCACAATAAACACACTTTACAATAGGGGCACTGCACAAGTTAAGTTACTCATCAATAAACAATATCATAATTGGGAAACATTCTGTAACTCAACTGACACCAACGTCAAACCAACCACATTCTGGAGTAAAATAAGATCTGTAAACAAAACAAACAACATAGGAGGAATTATCCCAACCCTACATTACAATAACGTTACAGCCAGAACTGAACAAGAATTGACAAAACATGTTCTACACAAAATACATTCACACTCCCTAACCACCACACTTTTGATAATGATTTCAAAAACTCAGTACATCACTGACAATAAACATAAATTCGAAAAATATTTCATGTAAATACAAGCATTTTCACATCACCAGATGACACAACTTTTGCCAATAGTTACCTAACAGTTAATGATATCGCAAACACAGTCAAATCACTTAAAAACAACTCCCCTGGAAAAGATAACACCTAATATATGTCCAAAAAAGGATCTACCAAGCTTCACGCACATCCAGCTAACATCTTTATATTAATCTTAAGATCTGGACACATCCCTTCTAACTGGAACACAGCAACTGTCGTCATGTTTCCAAAACCAGATAAATCATCATAATAAATATCGACAAATTAGCCCAACAAATGCAATAGTTAAACTGCTTGAAAGAATCATAACTAAAAAAATACTGCTCTTAATCGAAACCAATAATTTACTTCCAGAAATAAAAAACAGTTTTAGACGCAAAAGATTACCTTGTAAGACTAACAGAGACAATAGTTAAATCAATCAATATTACGCATTTCACATCTGTTGCCTTCATGGACATCCAAAAAGTCTTCGACACATTATAGCATGATGGGATAAGATATAAACTTGCGAACTCCTATACACCCAATAAAACCCAATAAAAAAATTTAAGTCAAAGTTAACACAACTGACTCCTTCTGACAATCTGCCAGGGTTAATGACATAAAGTTAACATACGCCGATAACACACAGACTATAGCCTCCCAATTTGCGGATGATATTGCCTTATGGTCGTCATCAAGAATCCAATACAAGCCAATAAAAAGACACAAATACAACTAAACAAGTTACAAGCCTGGTACAATAAGTGGAGAGTCATAATAAACCTCTAAAAACGCAACTTATAATTTTTCATAGATAATTCCTGAAAAGTCAAAGAGAAAAAACGCCATACAAATATATATATAATACTTGGTATCACCTACGGTACTAGCCTAACATGAAGGAAACATATCAATAACATCACAAACAAAACATCAATAAGACTCAACATCTTAAAAGCTTTACAACCCCTAAGCATTAGCAAAACAAATCAAAACATAAATCCGCCAAGTATTTGGAAATTCATGCCTAGCTATACTCAACATGAAAGGTAACTACTACAACATAATGTAAAAAAATTTAAAACCAGGTCATAAGATAATCAACAATAAACATATTCTTCAAAAGCAATAATCATCCAATCATAAATATGCCTGAATATCCCCCTCCCCGGAGCCATAAAGACGGCCCCTTCCTTTATCTCATCTACAAGTATCATCTTTTACTAAATTTAAAATTGCCTTTATTTAAATAATATAATGTAAATATTAATGAAATAACTTACAGTCAAAATATTTTTACAGAAAAAAAACTAATATGTGTATTTAAAACTATAATTTTTGTATATAAAATAACTTAATTTTATAAAATGAAATTAAAACGTTGACATATAGCACAAGTCTTAAGTGTGTAATGAACCACACTAAATAATTAGTGTTATTAACTCATTCATATTGTAGTTTTGCTGTTAAAACAAATAAGAAAATTTAGTATTAAAATATGTTGCACTTACGTTCTTCTATAGTAGTGTTTTATAACACAGTGTTCGAGGTTTGCTTGTCTTAAATATTTTATATTAGCTTTTGAAAGTATAATTTAATTTAATTCAATTGTAAATTTACCAATAAATGTATTCACACTGCAAAAGTATAAGGTTGGATACTGTTTTTAATCTTACCAGGTTTAGTAGCTGGGCAACATCATTGTAAAAAGCATCATTGATTTGTGCTCCTTCGTCAACATTTTGAATACTTGCGGTTTCTGTCTGTCCAACAAGCTTTTTCTTAAATTCGTCAGCGAAATTGTAAACTATTCTAATCCAAAAGGAATGATGCAGTTATATAAGGATCTATAATTCGAATCGAAACTTAAAGTCGTCGTATTGATTTGCATATAGATGATTTAGTTAACATTAGTAAATTGTATGTGTGTGTGTATAAAGTTTCTAATATTTTCAATATAGTAGTGAATCAGAAACTAAAGTTCGTCAACATTTTATCATGTGAATTCCTAAAACGTATTGTCTAAAATGAATACATGCTATGGCCGTGTTTTAATGAGGAAATTGAATTTTATCTCGGACAGCCGTACCGAATTTCCAGCTATTTTACAATATGAACTGAGGAAAATTAAGTATATAACCTCAAAAATGCAAGCATGATGACTTATAAGTCTCTTTCTATGTGATGAAACATAAAATATAATAAAAACAAATACCTGAATTATCAGTCAAGTTAAATAGTTTATCATTCGCAATAAGGTTAAGAAACCTAATGGCTAATTAAGCTTATATAACATGGAATCCACAGTACTGCGTATACTGTAAAGATAAACAAATCTTCGAAAATACAAAAGAAGAACGGCAGCACATTTTAAGGCAATTTTAAAGGGATATATGTTAAGTAACCAGTATAAAAACTAAAATAAAATATAAAAACGAAATATTTGCAGAATGTCCCGAAAAGATCGGAAAAACTAAGTTTTTAAGGAAGTTTCTTAACTTATTTTCTGTTAAAATACGTAACTTTGTATAACATTGCTGAAAAATGTGTTGTCGGTACATTGTCCATAGTGTTATGGATTTTTTTATACATCGTACAGTATTTCAGTTAGATATTTGGCTACTGAAGATACATCTCAAAGGTTTATAAAAAAAAATCTGAAATACTATTCTGAAACGTCTTTTATTTGAAGTTTAAAATGCAATAACTCAAAGAATGTAATAAAAATGTTGATGTTTCATTATGAGCAATAGTCCAAAAATAAACCATAAAGGAAAACTAAGCGTTAACAAATGATGTAATAAATGAAGTTCTTATTATAAATATATACATATATATGCATATATATATTATACAACTTTGCCAGATTATAAAAGCAGGTTAAAGGTAACATAAATGACAGTAAAATATCAAGTAATTTATGTGCAGAAATCCAACATTTTTCCAGGGTTCTTAAATAGCTATATTGTAAACATTTAAAACTTATATTGAACAGTATTCTTCCACTATTTTCTTATTTTTATTTCGTTGTTTTTCTTTTCACTTTATTTTTATTGTTATTCCGTTTCGAATTTATATTTCTTAATCGTAAAAATAAATATATTTTTCAAATTCTATCATATTCTAGTGTACACACGTTAATTTTTGAGTTAAGTAGGAATGTGTGTTATTACTTTATAAAGACATATAAATATAAAATTGAATAACTATGTATATAAATTGATTTTCTTAAATGTATTCACTAAGCAGAGAAAATATTTTTAAAGACAATTTTTCAATTTATCTATCTTTCTGTCTGATAATTATAAGAATCAACTTACGATGTCATGAATTTAATTTTACCAGCGTCGTCAGCTTCACCAAAAAGGTTTTTGAGTTTTTCATGTTCTTTTTTCATATCTATCAGCTGATGCTGTAAGGTTGACCTAACACTGGGGAGACGTTCTTGAATGTGAGCTTTAAGCTGTTTATTCAAAGTCTCCTGAAGATATTTTGTTCCCATCCGGTGAGCTAGGTGCCTGGGGTCACAGTAAAATATCTTAATATGGAGGTGCAAAATACGTTAATTATCTGGGGAGCAAAGAAATTATTTTTACATTTAAGGAAAATAAATACTGATAATATTGTGAAGGAAAAACATGCATTGGAATATAAGTTTAAGTATTTTATTTTTTCATACGTCATCCTGAAATGTCAAAAAGAAATTATAATAGGAAATAATTATTCGAGAAACAATGAAATTAGAATTTAAAGAACTTATCTAGAAAAGAATGAATCAAATGAGGTTTAATTACAAGTTTGTATTTGAAAAAAATGTAATTAATATGCTCTCAGAAAATATCATTGATGTTAGTGTATAAACAAATGAGAAGAATGAGAATGCATTAATGATAACATTAAGGACATCAGACAATGAAATTCTTTGTCGGTATACTTAATTTATTAGATTTTGTTCGATTTCAATTTATGGTTGTCCAGATCTTATAACATTTAGTTCTTGTCCTTAAGATAATGAATTTCTAATATTATTCTATCTTCAATAATCTCATATCATTATCTTATATATAGAGATTAATATTTCTTCAGTACACTCACATCATTATCCTTTCGTCAGTACAGTATTAGTACATTAGGCTGTTCTCATTGTCTGTTTGTAATTAAGCACAAAGCTACACAATAGGCTATCTATGCTCTGCCCACCACGGGTATCGAAACCCGGATTCTAGCGTTGTCATATGAACAAATAAATGTATAAGTGAAGATAATTTCATTTTTCTGTATTATTCTATATTATATGAGATTGTGTGAGCATGGCACAAAGAATTGTAACATTCAAAATATTCTATAATATACCACAATTTTGATGCTTTTCATACAAAGTAGGAATCACTAATTTTAGAGAGTTCATTTTGAATTTTATTCTGCATTTGGAAAATGACTTAACATAGATCATGAGTAGTATATAACTACAGAGAAAATAAGGAAATGTATTGCAAATACATATTATTATCAGCAAAATAATGCCCCTAAACGTTAACGATTAATGTAAACTGGTTACTATTTTATATTACTTTATGGATTTAAAACAAATTAGTATTTATTCAAAACTGATTATTTTTAATTAACTTAAATTATTAGATAATTGCTAAAGTCTCGACAATGGTTTTCTTTCATTAATTATAATAGCATACAATTTATCAGTATAATTAAATAATATTTTAGGTCAAAAGTTACGTAATAGAGTTATGGAATTCTTACTTGTAATTTGGATGATTTTTGAAAAACACACTTTCCTCTTGTAATGCTGCCTTAATATCTTTGCTTGTGTCAATGTCTTTCTGACTTCGACTAACGATTCCAATATATCCTAAACGAAAAGGTTTTTAAATAACTAAAAATTATATATTTACTTTTGCGAAGAGAAGGTTTTTAAATAAATACAAATTACGTAGTTACTTTGCTTACTGTAGTATATTTTCTCGTTTAACATGTTATATATTGAAAATTCAGTACATTTAGGTTTCAAACTAGAAAGTTATTTCATTGTCTAGCACACTGAAAAGCAACACGAATTTATAAAACAATTGGAACTGTATAGAACATATTAAAGTTAAGATATGCACTTTCTCTTTGTGCGAAACATGTGATAAAATAAAACATTTATCACTCTTATAAATCCAGTGTCAGAACAACATTCATACCTTGTATTGACATATTGTACAAGTAAATGTTTTGTTTAACGCTTTCCTACTTATGAAGGAGTGCATCAAAATTATACCTTCAAAATTATCATAAGTTTATATTCCACACCAAATAACTAGCACACAGCTTTTTTATACATGTTCATTGGATAACATTAATAAAGACACGTCTGAAGCTACAGACAAATAAGTATTTGATTACAAGTTTCGCTGCATCTAAAAAGTATTAAGCATATAAATGTATAGCATATTCTCCAAAGTATCACAATAACACGAATATATATATATATAAGACAAAGTACAGGAACAATTACTAAGTCTGACAGAGTGCTATATCTATAAGTAGCGAAGTACCCGGCTTTGGTGGGGTTACTAGGCTGATAGTGTGTGTGTGTATTCTGAACCCATTTTAGCATAAAAGTATAACCTATATACATTTGTTGCTAAGCAGCATGACATAAAAGCCATCGTTGAAATGCATTGTTACCAAAACGCGCCAGCTTTTATATATATATTAGAAGTTGTTATATAAGGAATCACTTCTTTTCTATGTGTTTTTCGCTAGCTAGAGTCATTAAAAAGATGCGCACACGCATGCGTGCACGCACGTGGATAAGATAAGTAACAATACCCATAAGCTCTCCCACAGGATCCACTTAGTATGGGTGCAAAATTTTGGGTTTCAAGGTTATTTCCTCTTGGAGCTACGGCAGTCACACACACATACACGTAGCTCCAAGAGAAAATAACCTATAAACCTGACATTTTACTCCCATACTAAGTAAACCTTGAGGTATGCACCTGGGTGTTATTACTTATCCATCTTTTTATGAAGCAAGCTAGCAAAAAAACCACATAGAAAGGAAGTGTGAATGCCATAGCTCTAAAAATAACAGAACCTAGAAACTTGAAATATTTCACCCATTCTAAGTAGACCCTGAGGGTGTGCATCTGGGTATTACTTTCCACGTGCATGCACATCTTTTTTAATGAGGCAAGCCAGCGTAAAACTACACAGAAAATAAGTAGTTCGTTATATTACAAATAGAAATCACAGAGAGTCAGACAGACACACACGTGCATGTGCACATGGACGTGCGCATCTTTTTAATAAAACAAGCTAGCATAAAACCTCATATAAGAATTTCTAATATGTAGAAAAGCCAGTACGTTTTGGTAACAGTGCATTCCATCAATAGCTTTTATGTAATGTTGCTTAACAAGAGAAGTATACAGGTTATACTAAATATAGTAGTTAGGTTATACTAAAATGAGTTCAGAACACACACACACACTTACATAGTCTTCTAGAATATATCAACCTAAAAACCCCAGCAAGGTTTCGCAAGCGCATGCGCGTGAATAAGATAATTAATACCCAGGTGCATTGTCATAGCTCCAAGAGAAAAGAAACTAGAAACCTGAAATTTTGCACCCATACTAAGTGGACCCTGAGGATGTGCACTTGAGTATTATTACTTATACACGTGCATGTGTGCACCTTTTTAATGAAGCAAACAAGAGAAAACCACATAGAAAAGAAGTGTTTCGTTATATTACAAATATAGATCACAGACAGACAAACACACATGCACGTGCATGCGTGTGCGCATGCGCATCTTTTAATGAGGCAAGCTAGCCAAAAACCACATAGAAAAGAAGTGGTTCCTTATTTTAACAACTTGTACTATTTAGAAAAGCCAGTGCGTTATGGCAACACTACCATAGCTCCAAAAGGAAGAACCAAGAAACCTGGAATATTACACCCATATTAAGTGGAACCTGAGGGTGTTCACATGGGTATTGTTACTTATCCACGTGCCTGCACGCATGGCGAAGCGTATCTTTTTATGGGGCAATGTAACGAAAAACCACATAGAAAAGAAGTGGTTCCTTATATAACAACTTCTCATATATAGAAAAGCTAGTGCTTTTTGATAACAATGCATTCAAACAATGGCTTTTATGTCATTTTGCTTAGCAACAACACTATATAGGTTGTACTTTTATTTTAAAATAAGTTCAGAATACATGCAATGACATAGTCATCTTATTCCGATTTTTTACGTATTGATTTCACCTAAGTCTACTAATTTTTTTCAGCGATATTTTACTGGAATTTTCTATGTTCTTACTTGATAAAACATAGGGGTAAAATTAACTAGTTGCTAGACTACTAATAAGCTATCAAAGTATGTAATTAATAACGCAACAAAATCTGTCGTATTCTATATTGCACATATCTGATATTCTACCAGGTAAAATAAAGTTTATCTCAGTAATATGCATTATGTACTTTAAAGTTTTCTATCTGTGAATTTTTAAAATTATCATTACACCTAAAAACTAATGATGAATATTTTCTTTTTTTACCTCTTTTGAGTGGGAAACTTCTATTCTCCAAAATTTCCCGAGCATCTGTTCCTTCATCCATGAGGTCTAATTTTGTTAGAACACCTATTGTTCGTTCACCTACGGATTTAGTAATTAAATAAAGATTATTTTTGTCGAATGATCTCGGCAATATAAAGAAATTTGGCCGAACAACTCGAATGGTGTAAAAATTTATTTCGCATCAATTTTAGTTATTATCATAAACATTCTACTTCTGTATTTCCTTTGCTGGTTTCAACTAAATATTTATTGTCTAAATTTCTTGTAAGTAACACATGTGACAAACAAATGCACAAAGAGTGTGCTAAAACATTAAAATGCGGACAATTATTAAAATTGTTGTAAGTGAAAAGGAAAAACTGTGATCAGAGTTTCTGCCATCATTGGATCTTTTTCCTGATGAAGGTTGTTTGGCTGAAACGTTAATCACATACGAAGTATTTTTTCCCTTACAACAATTCTAAACATTTCGAACCCTAATCTAACTATGAAAATAATAAATTGGATATGTACGCCTTCTTGGAGTAACATATTTAGTAATCTTTATACATTAAGGAAGAATCAGTTGATAACGGAGATAATACATCTTTAAGACTGGATTAG